TCTTTCCCTCTCGCTCCCTCCTTATCCGCGAGCGCTCCTCTCGAGTGCTGCGGCGCACGGCGAGCACCACGCCGGCACGCGACCAGCTGCCCTCTCTATCCCCCTCCCGCGCTCTCTCCCCCCCCACCCCACCGTCCACACCCTCCTCCGAATCCACATACCCCCCACCCCCTCTCAACTTCTCTCCCACGCCATGACGCACACGCACACGCACGCACACACTCTCTCTCTCTCTCTCTCTCTCTCTCTCTCTCTGTCTGTGTCCCTGTATACTTGGCCCTCTCCCGTCCAGCCGTCTCGCGCACCACCTCTTCGTATCAAACTGCGCCTGCCGTCCTTCTAAATTCACTTCTTACTTGGCCCTCTCCCGTCCCGCCGTCTCGCGCACCACCTCTTCGTATCAAACTGCGCCTGCCGTCCTTCTAAATTCACTTCTTGCATCTCTACCTACGGTCCAATGATCCTCCGATTCGAATCTCGCTAGAGCTCGAGACTTCCTTCTTCCTTCTTCCTTCTTCCTTCGTTCACCTCCTCCTTATCCTCTTCCGTATTAGCTCTTCCTCCTTGTATACTCTCGTCTTCTTGCTCTCTCTCTCTCTCTCTCTTTCTCTTTCTCTTTCTCTTTCTTTCTCTCTCACTCTCTCTCTCTCTCTCTCTCTCTCTGTCTCTCTGTCTTTGTCTCTATCTCTTCCCTCTCTTGTCTCGAACTTAGCATTTATTTTTCTTTTGATGCATCGAGGTAGTGGCTAGGCTATACATTTTTTTGCGCTTTATGATTTCCGAAGAATGAAATTGAGGAAGAAGAAAGACGAGAACGAAAAAACGCTTATTGCGTGCACGCCAGTGTGCAAGAAAGAAAGAGAGATAGAGAGATAGAGAGAGAGAGAGAGAGAGAGAGAGAGAATAAGGAGGCTTACGGTTTTATTATTATGTCAGAATTAATACACGAACAAATGTCAGAAATGAGTTTCTATGCCGTGAATCACGGAGAGGTGTGAAACCTAAAATTATATATCCATAAACATATAAATATTGATAAAGTAAACAAAATTTCAATAACAGTAAAACATCGTAGTTTTTCCTTTAGAGCAGCGTAAATTATGAATTGGAGAGCATCGATGATCCTAAAATACCATGATTAACGACTTTAATGAGCATAAAAACAAAATTGATCTTTAATCGGCATGAAGGCTCGAGCACGTATACTCGTCCCTGTGTGTACAAATGTAAAGCGAAGGCTGGACTGAGCGTTGGCCCATTCGTCAGTGAATAAAAGGCAGTGCGGATGTAAAAGCCGAGATGTAAAAGGGATAGAGAGAGAGAGAGAGAGAGAGAGAGAGAGAGAGAGAGAGAGAGAGGTAGGAATAAGAAAGTTCGAGTGGCTGGAGTCACGTGGCAGTACGGGGGTCCCGCGGAGAAGCGTCCGAGAGAGGTGTCCGCGTTCGGTCTACTCCCACCTTTAGCGCACGACGTTGGTGGACTCGATGAGAAGAGAGAGGAAAAACGAAGGAGAAGATCGCGAGTGGGTCCACGGGAGTAAAATCCCCTCTTGGGTGCGGACTCGGGCGAACCGGAACGCGGACCGCGGCTCCGTGAGTCGATATCGCACGCGCCGCGACGTGAGATCCCGAAAGACCGCTATTACGGTTTTGCTCGACGTTCCTTTTATCAGCGCCACCGCACTCTTCCTCAGTTCCCTCATTGACTTTCCCGTCCCCTTTCCCCATGCTCAGCGCGCTTTTACTCTCATTCATCGCTCATTCTTTGCTCATTTCTCCTCTATGCGGCATTCGCAATGGTATTCTTGTCGAATGATACTCATTATATCCTGCCGAATGCAGTGGTTTGAAGAGAAATTTTAATTCCCTTATTCGACCGGTTTAACATAAACACTTATTTTACTTACTGAAATGGCAGTGTAATAGTACTATAGCTGAGGTTATTCCAAGCAGTTTGTTGTTAATTAGGTTGCAACAATCGTTACTCAAAAAGTCTATGAAATGAAAAGAAAATCTGTCTCACCTTTTAAAATAGAATTCAAAACATTGGTTGATAATTTACATTGGTGTTCATTACTCTAATTTCAGTTGTATATAATTTACCGTTTAAGATTAGATCCATTAGAATAATGAAAGGAAACTGCCGAGATACTTTAGAGCTAACAAAATGAAACTACTCATCAGCAGAGTTGATCGATGTGAAAGACAAAGAGCATCGGGCAAGCAGGCAGGCGTACAAATCTCCTCGAGTAAATCGAGAAGCTGCTACGCTATAAGTCGAGATTGTGTGTGAGTGTGCGTGCGTGCGTGCGTGCGTGCGTGCGGGCGTGCGTATGCGTGTGTGCGCGTGAGATACCTCATAGTATGGAATCTTGGTGATCCGTTTTATTCAGACAGTAGTACAGGCCTTACACAAGGTGTATTTATAATTCCTACACAACTTTAGTTATAATTCCTCACAACGAAGAAATATATATATATATATATATATATATATATAGAAAGAGAGAGGTAGAGATAGTGGTGTGAGTGATTAAGTGAGAGGGAAGGGGGATAGTAAAGAAATATAACAAAGGGTTAGAGAGTGAGAAAGAGAGTACGGCTTTTTGCAGATTAGTAGCAGAAATCATAAGCAAACCTCGAATGTTCCATTTGAAAATACCAAAATTTCTCTTACAATAATAATCTTAATCCATAATACATTACAGATCTATACATGATTAATAAAATATTCATTTCTAGATTGAGCTAATCGATTATGGAATGCCGTAAATGCCCATAAAGTCAGAGACTTAACGCTAATACGATATAACCGTGGGGAAAGGTGTATGGGCAATTTGTCGAACACTTATCGCAATATTTGTATCCCACTATTTCCGAGTCCTGTACGAGCAATCTATATACGTTTTATAAAGAGTTTTTTTTTTCTTTTTTATAAAATAGCGATTGTATATAAGGCGATAAGAGACAATCAAATCGACATCAGACTCGAAGTGAAAAGAGTGAAAAGCCACAATCCTCGCACGAGCATTTTTCACGATCCCATGGGCACTCGACACTTGTTGCACGCGGCCGTGAGATTGCGAAATTTAACAATCAATCGCTTCCGGCTCGTCTTTCGAGCCAGTCCTTATTGTTGACACATCGCGTCCTCCGCGTGACGATTCTTCGGGCTCGCGCGTAGGCGACTAATAATATGGCATTTCGCTTACTTCTTAAACGACGTGCGCATAGAATAGAATGCGCCCGTGCGCGGGTCTCGCCTTTAATTCAAAAGACGACGACACAACCAAACAACGACAACGTGTGACAATGTATCGACCCCGTACATCCATTATGACACTACCCTCATTTCGTTGTCGTAGATTCCTTCTTTCTCTTTCACTTCGAGAGCCTTGCGAAATGTCGAAGTTCTCGCTCCGTCGGCCGCTCCACGTGTCGCCAATAGAGGAGTAAAAACTTCGTCGCTAATATCGACTTCTTACTATTTGTATACCATAAGCACGTATTGTTTTGCGCTCGAGCGCGATGCAAATAAAAATGCTTAATATATGAAAAATAGATAGGCGCGGACTTTTAGTATGTGCTGTCACTGATTAAAAATTTCATGCCGGGAGTGAAAAAATTCAAGGAATTTGCATGGCGAAACTACCACGGCATAACCGCAACTGCAACGCTACCCTACGCTCCTCGATATGTGCCTTTTTTTTTCTTTTTTCGTTTCTTTTCTTTTCTTTTTTTTTTTTTAGTGACAGTTTTTTACCGCGCCTTGCAATTACAACGCGATATTCCAGGAAAAGCCTTATACATTTTTTCCTTTTCATTATATGCATTTATACATATTTATACATACTTATACATATATATATATATATATATATATATACAAAGCGTGATTCCGGCCAAGTTGTTCACAAAACACCAAACACCAATTGCTTTGCTCCGAGCCGTAGCATCGACGGCTTTTTTTCTTTTTTTTTTAATATCCTACATTGTACAAACAATCGTTTACGAGGATTCGTTATTGCGATTATGGGAGTCGTAAAGTAGAGGCGCACTTTACAACACTGAGGAACAGGCGGCACAGTTTGGTTTTTTTTCCCCCCTCTCGGCATTTCGTTGAAACGACAATGGCGGCACGCTTCGGTGGTAAAATCGATCATCGGGCCATATCGAAAGGAGCGGATTAACCAACGAGGCCCAAGGATGTGTCAATAGTGCAGATTCCCCTGGCTAATTCAGCCGATCGACGACTGCGCCGCAGTCCGGGGATTTCGTCAAGTCGTAATTTCACAGATTCTTTAATGCCGATCGCGCCCTCCTTTCTCATAATTTTATTTCGCGGGGGAGTCGCGTCGCCGGGCGTCGTCTTAAATCTTTATTTAATGTCGGGTTTTGCGTTTCGGCGCAAAATGCCGAACTCGAGGCAAGCTAGTTGCTCGGGACCCTGTCACCGCGACCTTTTCGACACCTCGCAAAACCTCTGCCTGCACAGACTCGACGGCTAGATAAATAAATTCAAGTGTCTGTCTTTGCAAAACTAGCCTCGTCGATACGAAATCGCACCTTCCTTTCACTCTCTCCTTCTCTCTCTCTCTCTCTCTCTCTCTCTCTCTCTCTCTCTCTTTGACTCTAATCCCCCCCTCTCTCTATCTATCTATCTATCTATCTATCAGTCTGTCTTCCTTTCTTTCTCTCTTCCGTTCATTCTTTTCGTTTTCCAAAGTTCGAGTGAAACTTGCGGTTTAAATGTAAAAAAAAAATTAACCACGTTACGTGTATGTAACGTCAATCCTGGTAATTTAATCATGCGTGTCTATTTCTCAAGCTTTCTTACAATTTCTCACATTCTTTCTTATTCATTATATTCAGTTAGAT